TTTTTACCTTGGGAATAATCTGGTTTCCTGGCATAGTAAAAAGCAAAATGCCATTTCTCTTTCGACTGCTGAGGCTGAGTACATTGCTGCAGGGAGTTGTTGTGTATAAATGTTGTGGATGAAGCAAATGCTTCATGACTATGGGATAGAACAGAACACTCTTACTCTTTTCTGTGATAACACAAGTGCCATAAACATTTCAAAAAATCCTGTCCAACACTCTCGCACCAAACACATTGACATTCGTCATCATTTTATTCGAGAGTTAGTGGAAGAGGGCCTTGTTGTTCTTGAGCATATTTCCACTGAGCATCAAAAAGCTGATATTTTTACAAAACCCCTTGATCTTCTTCGGTTTGAGTTCCTTAGAAAGACCTTGGGTGTCATGCTCGATCACTAGAGTGTTACTTGTTACTTGAGTAGGTGTAAGCGTTCTGCCTTATGTATGCTTGGATGTCATAATCGCATTGTCATTGATATCTGTTGTACTTGCATCCAACTTTTTATGTACACTACTCATGCTGCTTACAAGATCTCATTGTTCATTGGTCATAGCTCATTTTGAATGCCCATGCTCATTAACCTCATGATCTCATTCTGTACACATCCTTGAGATTAATTGTTGCAGGGGTTTCCGCACATGTGATCAAAGTTCTCTATGGACCACTAACAGTGTTTCTTAAACTTTTACAGTGGAATTGACCGATACTAGCATATCATGGGTGATGTTGAGTCTCTTAACCATCTACCATCTGTTTTCACTTCTACGGTTTCTCCCTCTGTTCCTTGAAGTCTGGGCATTAGGAAAAGGCTACCTCAGAGGCACCAACCAGGCCATCCTTTATGATTTCATTCTTCTCTGGTTTGGTTTCCATACTCTTGAGCGTGAAAGCCACTAGTGAGTGCCCACAAGAAAAAAATGTTCAAAAAAAAAAAGGACTCATCGATTGAGCCGCCTCCGCATTTACTCAACAAATACCCCGTGATTCCTAGTGGTTTGACTTTTCTCTGTATTGTTGAGTTACTCTTGATGGAGGTCCAGCCATCCGATCACTACTAGGATTAACTCTAGCTCAGTGACCTCTCATGGATTGCACACACACACATTATTTTGTGAGCTCTCATGTTGGATTTTGAGTTGTTCATTCTCTTGTAGTTTATGATCAGTGATTATAGTTTATCTGTTCTGCTCATGATGTTCAGTGTCATTGTTTTTTAAACAACTGCAAGTTTCCAGACTTCATGAATTGCGGATTATCTCATCTTAGTATTTCATTTCTGGCTGAATGTGATCATCTACTTGTGTTTCGGGTCTCACCTCTTGTTATTGAGTATTTTGTTTTTATTTAAAAATAAAAAAAATAAAAAAATAAAAAAAATTCCCCCGCTCGAGCGGATCTTGTTACGCTCGAGCGTATTTTTGAGCCTTGCAGTAGTTTGCCCTCTGCCTTTACAGTTCTGAGAGAGGTTTTTTGGCGCTCGAACGTCCTTATGCGCGCTCGAGCGGGTGTCAGCCTGCCTTGAATCACGCTCGAGCGATAATTCCTACGCTCGAGCGGACCGATTTTATATAAAACTCCCTCCCTCGACTCTTCAGGTCATTTTTTTTTCCCTCCTCTTCAGTTTCTCGACCTAGGGTTTGGATCGTGGGTTTTGCTTGGTCGCTTTCATCCTTTTTTCCTTCTTGCTGTGATATTGATGGTATATTGTATTGATGGTACTCTGGTGATTATATTTTGTTTTGTTCATATGGATATTTTTTGTTAGATGGATATTTTGTGCGTATGGATATTTTGTTCATTTGGTTATGTCGGATGGATACGTTTTGATATATTCCTTTCACTGCATCGTCCTGTCTTCCTCCTGTTGCATTTCATGTTTGTGTGTATGACATCAGTGTTTGTGTGAGTTCCACTTGCTTGCAGTTTTTGTGTTTGTGCTACCTGTTTGAGCCCCTGTTTTGACCACAAGATGGAGAAGTGTTGCCATTTGAAGTTCTATTTGTTTTGTTATCAGTGTTTAGCTTTACTAGGTCATTGATATTCTACCATTGTCATTATGCACATTTTTTGCATTATGCATTTCATTGATATGTGTCTTCCATGTTTATGAAATGATATCCTTGAAAACTGTCATCCATGATTATGCATTATGCGTTTAATGTTACTAATGGTTTCTGTCTTGTGCCTGTTTTGATATTCGGGTTTGGTTTCTTTTTGGGTTTGTTGGGTTTTCTGGTATTAGTCCGCTCTCATCTCATCATGTCCGCCCCTAAACGCCGAAAGGCAACTGTGTCTCGTCCTACCTTTAATTCTGAAAGGTTTCAAAATGCTAAGCAAGACAAGTTGTTCCATAAATCTTTTGAGGCTCGCACTGTTCACCTAGAACGAAATGTCCAGCCCAACACTTTCGAATCCATCCCTATCCGTCCCTTGTTTGATCCTCTAGGTGGTGATTTGGTGTTGTCTTTTTCTGGGCGTCAAAATCTCGATTGGGTGCGAGAATTTTACTGCAATATTGAGCAAATCAGTGACTTTGAGCCTTCATTCACTACTTGGGTCCGGTCTAAATCCGTTTCTGTCACCCCTGCACTCATTCGCCATCTTCTTAAGGTTGATCAAGTGTACCCTCAACACTATCCTTTTCCTGTCCCAGGTCGTCCTACCTGTGATTTCAATCATGTGACTGAGGTGTTATGTGGTTCTTCCCGTCCTTGGCCTACGGGTGCCTTGATTAAACAGTTTGAACTTCTTCCGGAGTTTAGACTGCTTAATCTGATTGTTTGTGCCAACATCCTTGTGACCACTCACTCCTCCGAAATTAATCAAGACCAAGGTTTTGTGTTATTCTGTATCGCCCGACATATGTCTATTGATCTCGCTCCCTTGATTATTCGGAAAATGATAGGTGTCTCTGGGAATAGACAGTTAGGGCTTCCTTATGGGTGTTTGATTAATCGTCTTTTGTCTGACCTTGGGGTTCGGGTGTTCGAGGATGATGAGTTTGCCTTCCCCTCCCGACCATTCACAAAGAAAACGGTCTCACAGAGTCGGGCTCATGTTAAGGGGGAGTCTTCTCGGGCTGATCCTTCTGCAGGTACCACTGCTGGACTTGCTGAGGAGGCTGAATATGATGCTGCTACCGCCGGGAATGAGGAGGATCCTACTCCACCAGTTCCCCCTAGCTCTTTTTCTGATCAGCTTCAGCGTTTTGAGGAGGCTATGACCCGGAGGTTAGACTTTCTCGATGCCCGTTTTGATGGGTTTTGATGGTCGTCTTGGTCAGCTGGAGCAGACTGCCGGTCACACTACTTCGCAGCTGGACCACATCATTTCCTTACTGACGCTTCAGCCGTCACCTCCTCCACCTGGTGCATGATTTCTTTTTTGATTCCCGGTCAAAAAGGGGGAGAGTTTGGTCTTGCTGTGATATTGTTTGGTCTCTAGTGATGGTACATGGTACATTACATGGTACATTTTTTTTTGTAAGATGGTTCATTTGTTTTGTTCATATGGGATATTTTGTTCTTTTGGTTATGTCACATGGATATTTTGTTGTTCATATGGATATCATGGATATTTTGTTCCTTTGGTTCTATCGGATGGATACGTTTTGATATATTCTTATATAGTTCCACAAGTTTTGGTTTTTCTGGTATGTTGCTGTTTTTTTTCTTTTTTCTTCAACAGGTGAATGTTGGATGAAGAGTTGGCTTGATGGACTGTTACATTGCACGATTGGGCAAGATTGTTTGTGTATAGAGTTGTTTTTGAGTTTTTTTATTTTCTTGTTTAGTGCGTGTGTTTAAGAACATTTGTTTATAAAGGTTTTGTCCGGGAATTGACAAAGGGGGAGATTGTTAGGTCCCTTGATTGTCAAATCCAGATACAAAACCTTGCGTTGTTAAAGTTGTTTCTTTTCAATGTTTTTGTTCTTCCCGCTCGAGCGGGGACATTGACGCTCGAGCGGAGTTTGTGGTCTCTCAGTATTTGTGACAGGTCTGTAAAAGTACTGGAGTGCGTAATTTTGCGCTCGAGCGGGTCATGAAGCGCTCGAGCGGATCTCTGTGTTTCCACACGCGTATTTTGTTGAAGCCGCTCGAGCGGGATGTTGGGCGCTCGAGCGGAGATCGCGGATTCAGGATTCCTATTTATATCTATTTAGGTTGTTTTTAGGACTGTTTTTTCCAGATCTTATTCAAGAGTCCTAGGGTTTTGTTTGTGGGGTTCTTCTGGAGTTTTGGTGAGTTTTCCTTGATGTCTTGAGAAGAGTTCTTCACTCATGATCTAAAATACATACATCAAGGAGTTGGTTTTCTTTAAATTCAAGAGAGAGTTCTCTTTGGTGGATTCCGAAGATTCTAGCGTATAGCTTTCAAAAGGCGTTTGATTCTATATGTGAGTGAGGTTGTGGAATCAACTTCAGGATTGATCAGTTCCGAGACGAAGTCGTGGAAAAAGAGTTACAGAAGATTCGAAGACAGATTGACTGAGTTGGGTAATTTGTATGATATCTTTGTAATCTTTTTACTTCAGTAGTGGATTGATTAGTGGCGTTTCGCCCGTGGTTTTTTAATCACAGTTGGAGGTGTCCAATTGTGGTTTTTTCCACGTAAAAATCGTTTGTGTCGATTTATTAATTATTCTGAAAAACAAACAATCTAAATCACTTTCGTAAGTACTTGTTGATTTAGATTGTGTGTTTTGGATTTTTAGGATTTGAAATATTTTTAATCTTGATCTAATCACGAATCACTTAAGATTTTCAATTGGGAAAAAACAGCCAAAGTAACATAAATAACAATCCAAAAAAGGGAAGCTAACAAGAGGACACGCACTATATGCAAACTCCTATAACAAAGCCAAATAACAGTAAGAATATATAGATAAAGACAGACATTGATGGGCTTTTGTTGTTTAGTCACACACAAAAACAAAACGAAAAATGTAAATTCAAGGGAAATCAAGGAGCGTTTAGTCAATTTATCATCAATTCATTACCAGATTTCTTAATTGTCTGTGGCTTCGCAGGCGAGAACCGACTCGCTCGATTGTTGTCCATTTCTGGGACGACAACACTTGCATTAGTATCGAATTGAAAACGAATTTGAACCCACCTCAAGACATGGGTCCAAAACTTTATCAATTCTCTATATATACAATCAGAGTTTATACAATGAAGAGAATTAGAAATCAGAGCTTTGAGAAAACTTGTAATGAAGTCAATAAAACAGAGAGAAACAATGTGAAGAAATGAAACCCAGTTGGGAGTAAAGAGGATCGATTGCATGGAATCAGCATTTTGGATTTGGATTTGGATTTGGTTTTGGTTTTGGTTTTGGTTTTGGTTTTGGTTTTCACCGAAAAGTTCGCCGGAAAGAGAAGCGAGAAAGTCGGGAAGGGTTTTGGGTTTTCATCTAAAGAAAGGCAAAAGAAAGATAGATCGATTTCATTGGCAGATACATATATTTGCACCTCTTTCTCATTACAATTGTCTTTGCTTTCTCTCTCTATATATATGCATTTTTTTTGTTTTCTCTCTCTATATAAAGTGCAGCTCTCGCCGGAGAGAGAAAGATGAAAGAGCCAGATTAGAGCAGAGACAAAAAGCAAGTGAAGAGGTTGTTAAAAGAGAAGAAAGAAGAAAAGTGAATTCCTCCTTGTGTTCAGAGAATCAGGTTCTTCACCAAATAAAGCACGCAGAGAGAGAGAGAGAGAGAGAGAGAGAGAAGAAAAAGGTTAACATGAAAAACAAGCATGAAAAATTCTCGAGAAATACAGCGGATCTCATTCATTTTACTCATAAAAGAATATTAGGATATAAATTAAAAAATGCCCATTAATCCTCGAATCTCGTAGAACAAAACCCATGTCTCTGAATCCAACAAACATCAGTCTTTTTCTCAGATTATACCCACTCAAAGTAGATATTCTCACAAAAGTCAGAACAAACTCTTCATTTCTTCTAATTCTTCAGATTTACATGAACTCGTTAATTGAAAAAACAACAACAACAAACACAGTAATTTGGAGGAAATTTTATTTTCTGAATCAAACCCATTTGATTTGATAACAAAGAATCGAAAATTTTGTGGAGAATTCGAAGAACAAAAAGAGACGAGACAATGGAACAAGTATAACAACCTTTAATTTCATAGAAGAATCAAGTAGTTTTCGACATTACATAGCTGTGAACTTCATCAACTTTTTCCCCCTTCACAGTCCCTGTCTAGAGAGCTCAGAATCACTCCCACAACACACCGAAAAAATCCATGCTTTCGCTCTCCAAAATCGCGCTCAGATGAATGCATCACATAACAAAACGGTCACACTCTCTCTCCCTCCTTACAGGAAAACATTATGGCGGACACTGATATAAATAAATAAATAATAAAAAATTGCATATTATATGTATTTTATAATTAAAAACAAATATCATAACTAAATATAATATAAAATATAATTAAAAAATTTATGAATGATAATTAAAATAATATGATAAAAACTGATCATAACTAAATATATACCCTATTTAAGGAGGGTATGTGGGAAGTAGTTTTTTTTTTTTAGTTAAAATAACACTAAAATACAAAATAGACTAAAATAGTTAATAAGACAAAATGTCATATCAAACTTATAATCACTTTATTTTTTCTTTCACAAATATCGGTCACACTCTCTCTCCCTCCTTACAGGAAAACATTATGGCGGACACTGATATAAATAAATAAATAATAAAAAATTGCATATTATATGTATTTTATAATTAAAAACAAATATCATAACTAAATATAATATAAAATATAATTAAAAAATTTATGAATGATAATTAAAATAATATGATAAAAATTGATCATAATTAAATATATACCCTATTTAAGGAGGGTGTGTGGGAAGTAGTTTTTTTTTTTTCGGGTTAAAATAGTATTAAAAGAAAAAATAGATTAAAATAGTCAATAAAACAAAATGTCACATCAAATCTATAATTATTTTATTTTTTCTTTCACAAATATCACATCCAATTATAAAAAAATCTATCTTTCCAAACATAAAAATTTTAACCTCTTAAAATAACCAAAAATTAAAATAAAAATAATAACTTCTCAAACAGTGATGTATATTAGAATTGATCGAGTCCTTTTTTAAGTTGTTCCAAAAAAAAAAAAAAAAAAGGAAGAACAAAAGAAAAGAAAAGTCCTTTTTGAAGAACATCATTCCACCATCGACGGTTTTGGAAAGAGCGCTCATCGTAGCCGTTGGATCATCGGCCCAAGATCAAACAATGATGTTCTACGTGTCCGCCACATCGGCAGCCACCTGTTTTACTTTCAACAACATGCCAACGTGTACTTTTCCACATGGCGCACCATGCAAGTGAACTGGACGGACGATCGAGATTCGTTCTCGCAAATCTAGGTCTTGATCTGATCCGTCCATTACGATTTTTAAGCAGAAAGAAAGACAAGCCGTTGGAACCAAATCCACTGTTCGGAAACGATTCTCTTTCATCCCATTAATTCAAGATCTTAGACACGTACCGCGAGATTCTTGGAAAATTTGTTCAATTCATTCATTTGTGTGAGGTGATTTGTGAAACAACAATGTAAGAAATTTTGTAAATTTTATTAAAATTTTTATTAAATACGTTATATGAATATGAGATTTACACCGAATTCATATTATAAGAGTCCTATAGATATAAAATATTTGATAAAAATTTTAATAACTTCGACCAAAGAATAATTACTCCAGTTCTTGTCATATTTCCCGAGAAAATATACCCTTTTTCTTGTTAAGATTGTGGGGTAATTTTGAAAATTAGTAAAAAATTAATTTTTTAATTTTTTTTATACAAAAAAGTAACCAAAAAAATTATTTTTTTTAATTAAAAGAGTCATTAAAAAACCAAAAAAAATCAAAAAATCAACTTGTTATCAACTTTTCAAAACACCACTATGTAAAATATTTGGAAAATTGCATGGCAGTAACATTTTTGTCGTTTTGATGGGTGTAAATTAATTGAAATTTAATTTTGTTTAATTAATAATATTAATTACAATGTTTAATAGAAATTACACCTATTTACATGCACGTGACACATCAACAAACAAAATTATAAATTCAAATACTGACATAATATACACAAACAAATAAAGAGAATAAAAGGGAGAGAATGAGGGCGGTGAGACTGGTGAGTCAAGTAATATATTCTTTAAATTTGACTTAAAAATTAATGAATTTTAAAATATATTTAAATTTAACTTATTTATATAAAAATTCAATTTGTAATGAGTTTTTAATAAGTTGAACTTGTGTAATTTCATTTTATATAATACATATATATTTTATAAGTAATTGAGAGAGATTGAGAGAGCAAATTAGCTCTGTGTTTTTGATGTATATTGCAACCAAATGGAACCTCCATTATATAGGAGATGTTTTACAAGACAAAATGATGAAGCCACCGAAAGATAACAAAAGGAAAAGAAAGCATCTCTGTGCTAGGCTAGCAACAACTATGCAACAACTATCTATATCTAATATAATATCTACATAGATTATCTACGATTATAATATCTACATATAATACTACTATTAACAACAATAATGATTTTAAATGTTTCGTTTTTGTTTAGTGCCAAAAGATTTCTATTTCTTTTTATTTTCTCTCTAAATAACACAATCCAAACGAACTGTGAATCTTGAAAAATCTGATGTGCATACTGAGAGGGTAATTTATATCTAAATTGGGCCGAGCTGGGTAATGGGCCGTTGTGGGCAATAGTAAGAAGGGTTGAGTAAAAAAGGCTTTGAAGTTAGCCCGGTTCGAGAAAACCTTGAAGTTAGTCCGGTCCGAGAGAGCTTTGCGGTTAGCTCGGTCATAGCGTGCTGTGGTTAGCTCGGTTAGAACCTTGCTATTTGCTAGCTCGGTCTAAGCACGCCATGGGTTGTACAAGAGAAACTGAGGCAAGAGCAGTGAAAGGAAGAACCGAACTAGATAGTTCGGTCTACTCTGCGGCTTAGCATAGCCATGCTTACCTCGGTCATATTGGAATCCGACCATGGTAAAACCATCTCACTTGGTTCAAGCAGTGAGAGGAGTGTTGAAGGATAAGCATTATCTTTCAGGAATATGATTCCAAGGAGGAATTTACATGGAAGAGTAAGAGTTCTACTAGGATTATGCCACGCGGAACCTATAAAAGCTCATAGCATCACCTATGGAGAGGTAACACAACTTTGATTCCCGAATATACAGAGCTTTGGTCTATTTGTCTATTTTGCTGACTTAGGCATCGGTTTTTTATTTAATATATAATTTTAAATTAACAACACTAAAAAAATAATTTTAGAGAAATATGTAAATTTAATTTTTTAACAACACTAAAAAAAATTAATTTATAAGGCCATAATTTTTAATTTATTATTTTTAATTAAATTTAATTTATAATTTATAATTTAATTTTTTATTTAATATATAATTTTAAATTAACAACACTAAAAAAATAATTTTAGAGAAATATGTAAATTTAATTTTTTAACAACACTAAAAAAAATTAATTTATAAGGCCATAATTTTTAATTTATTATTTTTAATTAAATTAAATTTATAATTTATAATTTCATTTTTTTATTTAATATATAATTTTAAATTAACAACACTAAAAAAATAATTTTAGAGAAATATGTAAATTTAATTTTTTAACAACACTAAAAGAAATTAATTTATAAGGCCATAATTTTTAATTTATTATTTTTAATTAAATTTAATTTATAATTTATAATTTAATTTTTTTATTTAATATATAATTTTAAATTAACAACACTAAAAAAATAATTTTAGAGAAATATGTAAATTTAATTTTTTAACAACACTAAAAAAAATTAATTTATAAGGCCATAATTTTTAATTTATTATTTTTAATTAAATTTAATTTATAATTTATAATTTAATTTTTTTATTTAATATATAATTTTAAATTAACAACACTAAAAAAATAATTTATAAATGTTCAAAAGACTATTTTACCCTTTCTAATTGTTTACTAAGTAATAGCATGGAGGGTAAAATGGACATTTCACCAAATAATCCCATAAGATACCAATCCCATGGTTTCTATCCCACACCCCCCATGGGATAGAATAGTCCCATATTTGTGGGACTAATAGTCCGGGGAACTATTAATCCGGAGCAAAATTTTACAAACAAATAATAGACTATTAATCCGGTGAGACTAATAGTCCAATCTCACACCCTTATCCCTCAAAACAAACATGCTCTAAGTGTCAAACACCAACTGGATATTACTAAATTATGTACTTGATCTCTAAATATCTGGATAAATCATATGTAGGATGAAATACAGGTATAATGCATTTTGAATTTAAAAAATAAATAAATAATGAAAATAGTTGTACCGTAGTTTACATAATGAGGTTATTTATGTATAAAAATATTTTAGTTCTTCTGCAAAAGTTGTTAATGGTATAAACAATATATGCTAATTCACAAATCATAAATGTTATGTGCTTATTTTAAATATCATGAGATAAATAGTAAATGAAGAATCTAATATTAACGAAGAAGAGAGTGTTGGT